TATAAGATAACTGACAACCAAACTTGTAGTTCACCTAATACGGCATGCGTCTGAATATTCGCATATTCATTTCAATATTTCCCAAGTTCCTAAGGAAAAAAATTGGGTTAATCTCCACATCTACGAACTGCCATCCTTTCGTTCATATTTTATAGGCAATCTAATACACAAACAAAGTTATGTTACTTCCTTGCTCTTCGAAGAGGACAAAAAAATTAATAAGTATGCTACAAGCCTGCACTTGAGGCCGACGGCAACTTTCATAACAGTAAAATATGCTGAATTTATTCAATAGATCTGTTTTACATCTCCCGGATTTTACCTCAAGCGTAATTTAATAAATCTCTGCAATTATCGGCTATAAATATTTCTAAGATAGGTCAAGTGCTTTTGGAAATGCAGACACGTCAATTAATATGTTATTTAACAACCGTGCCAATCAACCGCTGTACAGCTGACACTTTTAATAAGTAAAATAATAATTGCACTTTTCAAAAATGTTTCGTCGGAATAAGAAGTCGGAGGCTGTATATGAAAAGTCAGCTAGAAAATTCTTTACTCACAAAGAAATTACACAGCGCATTAAACATTTAAAAAACTTAGTCAGTAAGAGCACTATTTGCTCACTAATATTTTAGAAACATTGCCCACAGCGCAGATTCAAAAATTCTTCTCAGATTATCACTCCCAGATTTTTTACACCTTTTACGATTCGTTCGACTCAGAAGTCCGATCAAAATGTAAGATATTTTACATCTTACACCAAATAGGTTCACTTGGCCACACAAAGGACCTAGAGAACCACTTGTTTGTTCTGGAGGTGAATTTTTGAATTTCCACGAGTTATATATTTTTTTAGCGGATCCTGGCTTATTTGCCAGAGCTTATTCGTTCACACTGGCAGTATGCGTGTATATGTGAGTTCTCTTTCAAGGGCAATATTTTTAGTCGGACTGATACGCGATCTTCTTCATCCTAAGAACATTTTTCAATTGCAAATATACGGCCTTCGAATGTTCTTAATATGGTATCAAATTCTTGGAAATAGTGCCACAGAAGAATGTCGAGAACTGTTTATACATTTAGTGCCGGCCATTGGCGAAGTCCACGATTTCTACAAGAAAACGAAAGGTACAATTGCATTTGCAAATAACAACTTTGCAATTAGCTACTCAAGAACCAGACAAGACGTCCGCATTACATCGTATACCTTCCTCCTCCCCTGGCGTTACTTTTCAGGAACCAATGCCAATTTTGACTTCGGGCAACACGGATGACGTGAGTTTTATTTATTAATTAACCGTTCGCTGTTTACATCACCCTTTCGAATCCAGTTCACTTATTCGGGTTTAATCGCTTCCGTGCCAAATTCTTTTTGTTTCTATTATTTCAAAATGGATTTTGAACGCAAGCTTTGCTGTTTTGATCCCGCCCTAGTCTACGTGCGAAAAATTCATTTATATTTTGATAGAGTTTGCTTGACCCTGAGCTGCTAGGAATGCGGACGTTTTTTCGCATGCAAACTGAAACATAGTATGCGATATTTCGATTGATTAGTACCCACAATAAGGTATCTATTTTGTAATATAGTTAAGTTGCTTGTGCGAATCTCTTTTCAGACGTGTGCGGCTTCGAAAAGAAGCTAATAAAGCGTTCGATAACCTGTCCATACCTGTCTTTCTAGAGTATTTGGGTTTCTTTATCAGAAACGTTTGGCTAGAACCTGCGTCTTATTATGATTTTTCATTCTCCCGTCCGCGTCTCCAACGAATACGATTATAACTTAATAGATTATTCATTTGGCTTTCTTACTCTTTCGATCCTGAATTCCCTAGAGGAGGGTTGTGGATACTCCTCTGTTTTCATATTGATGTCGTAGTCCTCCGAAAACTACCCAAATTGTTAATTGGTATGGATTCTATCCAGTCTGCGTTTAAACATGCTATCGCCAACACTATTGCTCTCCTTATTTCTTGTGTTTTTCGAAGATGAAAGATCAAAACGTCCAGCTTCTGCGCTACCTCCTTCGATTTTCTGTTACGGAGATCGATAAAGTGATGTGGAGCAACTCGAATGCTGATCAAAAACCCATGTGTTTCTGGTTTCTCTTTGAACAGCTTAAGCACTACTACTTTCCAGCAATCTTTCCGAGGTTCGTCGTTATTCAAATTTTTATCTTATTGTTATAAATTGTAAATTTTATTTCAACGCGAAGTTTTTTCGTATAGTTAATTGAGCTTATTTTCATTTTACCCTCCAGAAAACCAAATGCTCTGTAAATTGTTCGTTTTTCTTCAGAATTTCCGCTGATTATACGCTTTACGATGACGGAAAACTCCCGCCAATAATAATAGATCTGGCTTCGTATAAACTCGCACCTGATGGCTATCCGACATCTGATGCCTGCCTCGCTGCGTATCAAGAAGAGGTTGTTCGCTGGATCTCTGAATTTGTTTATTTGGGTCCACGTGCAATGCTGTAAGCCCAGAATATCTTTCTTACACAATTATTTAGCGTTATAAATCTTAATACCGGTCCCATTAAAATTTTCGGATGTGTTTGTCTTTCTATTGTCGATTATTCATTTCTTTGTACGGTCATTCGTGTTTTTCAACCTTAGCAATATAAAAGCAGGTGACAGTATCCTCTGCGACGTTATGATTTGTCGCCCTCCGAGTATTCAGAGTGCCATCTTTGCATTCCAATTCTTATTTGAAAATGCCAGCGAAAGGCATTCCTATTCACTATTTTACTATTGTAATTGATCTATGAATTTTCAGGTTTTCTCGCGAGCAGTGCAAAGTCTATCTAGCTTCTTACTGTATCCTCTATTTTTTAACTTGTTAGCTAATTTCGACCTTTTTTCTGATGCATCGAAAAGCACAGGACTATCAACACCTTTGTTACTTTATCCATTACACTTTCGCAGTAGGCTTCTGGTGCTTTGCTAATTATTCCTTTAACTTGTGTTTATTCTATGGCAACCA